GCTATAATGTAATTATCTTAATCTTTACTATCGTTACTTTTTGCCCAGCGAAGCGGGTCCTTGCAGCTAGATTCTAGATTACTTAGAAAAACAGTCTTTTATATATATATATAAACTATACTATTACATACAAATAAAAACCCAGCGAAGCGGGATCTTGCAGCTAGTAGTTTATAAAATCGAAAATAATATTAAAAAATTATACAGTTTATGGAAGAAATGTTTTCTATTGAAAAAGTGATATCAAAAATATTATTTAGGTTATTTTAATAATCATTATATTTAAAATGCGTTTTTAAATTTAAACAAAATTGCAAAAACGTGGTAACACTAAAAACAATGTATGAACGTCTTCAACAGTGCAGCATAGCCGTATGACAGTTTAGAAATCAAAGCTAATTTAAATTACTCAAATTACTCAAATTACTCTCTCTCTGTGTATATATATATATATACACACACACAGAGAGAGAGAGAGAGAGAGTGATTGAAGGAATTTTTTATAGCTTTTTATGTTTTTGAATTCAAGAATTTGAAAACGTGGATATTTGCAAAAAACTCAGAGGGTCAAATTTGATTCGCTTCCGGTACTTTCTCTTGTTATTAAACAAAACAGCCAGGAAAATGAAATGAATGTGTTAGACATTTACACGTTGAATGGAATATCGATATAATTGGTATAATTATATAAAAACAAAATGTATACGTTGTGATATAAACCAGGCAGAAAATCTATAAATTACACTATACAATCTTTACTCCGATACTTACAATCTCCATATTGTCAAAATTACTATCGTGTAATCTAAACATTACTGAGGTTGCGGCCAACGTTCCGCGCCGCCTTCCTGTAAGCCTAGAGCCTAGAAGTTTGACAATGGCGTTTGGAACGTCAATAGAATCATGCTAGATGTTCCAAACCCTATTGTCAAAGTTATAGACTTACAGGAAGGCGGTGCTGAACTTCCGACGTACTCGTTTTCGCGTTGTAAACGTCGGCCGCAACCTCGCTACTATTCATTCTGCAGTATCCTCTTAGCTCGCCTTTATACTTTATCAAGCAATACGTTTCATACTGGTGAAATCGTAGTGATTTTTCTATAATTTACTTTTCGACTTCTCTCTGTGGCCTTATGAATGTGTCATTCTTCCGCATATTTAATCAATTGCTTTTTATGAACCTTTTGGAATATTTCTGCTCGATTCTATTCCACTGTTACGGAATTTGGGTCTGCTACTACTTAGGTCGTTAGGATTATAATTGGCTGCTCTTAAAAATGTATACATTTTGTTCTTATATAGTTTGGAGTTTTTGTTTTTTATCACTTATCGCGATATTCCATTCAACATGTAAAAGTCCGACACGCTCATTTTTATTCCAAAAATGGAATGTCTTTGGAATAAAAAATTAAGAAAAACAGAATCACAATCTAGGAACTCAAGATTGTTAAAAAACATCCTTGAAAAATTCTATATATACACGAGCGCGCACGTCTCTGAGTTCGCACATATTTTGCATTATACCTCAGGATTGGATGAATTTAAAATTTTGAAACTTGTCAGGATTATTTTTACGTATGGAGAATCGATGCTGTTAAATTTTGGCAGTTAAACCCAAGGAGTGGGGCGGTTGAGGAAGTCATGTATCTTATCTGGAGTGGGAAATTGAAGATGTTGAAAGAAATTGTAAATGCTAAGAATGACTAGAACTTTGTAAAAGTTCTAGTCATTCTTAGCATTTACAATTTCTTTAAAAACCAAAACTAAAATAAAGAAATTGTAAATGCTAATAACGTGTGTGCTTAGCTTAAAGATAGGTCTTTTCCCTTTTATAATAATTAATAATATAAAAGTTATTTTTAAAGTAAAATCTCATAAAAGACGACGTCACCCATAACTGGAAAATATGAATTCCGAGGAAGTCGTAAAAGCATATAGTTTTCGTCATAAAAAACTATATTTTGATTTTTATAAAAATGGAAGAAAAATATCTATAGCTATAGACAGAGATTAACGGATCGGTAGTTTACTTACATATGTTCTCTACTCACCAAAGCCAATATATATGCTTGTTGAATAAATACAAAATGTAATAAAAGATAAATAAAAAGTGATATTATGTTTATCCACATTTCAGGAAGACATAGAGTATAGTGATCTTGCAAATTTACAATATTTGGATCAAGTTATAGCAGAAATTTCGCGTTTGTTTCCGGTATATTTCCCGTAAGTATAAGTACCATAGTATTACTACGAATATTATTATTTGATTTAAAATATGCTTTCTTATATTAGAGGAGTGAATAGAGTATCTTCTACAGAATTCAGATACAAAGATATTGTAATACCTAAAAACTCTGTAGTGACTGTCCCACTTTGGTATTTGCATAGAAGTCCTGACTATTGGTCATCGCCGGAGAAGTTCATGCCAGAAAGGTATGTTTATATTAATTAGAATTTCAAAAATTCTTTATAATTATTACACTGTACTTTTAGATTTTCCGCTGAAAATCGCTCTACAATCGATCCTTTTGTGTATCAACCATTCGGTGCGGGACCCAGAAGTTGTTTAGGAATGAGATTAGCTCAAATCGTTATCAAATTAGCCCTTGTTCGTCTATTAAAATCGTACAGATTAGAAAAAACAGATGATGATGAGGTATCGCTATTAATTCCTAATAAATAATTAAATAATTGTTTTATATGAAAAATTAAAATTATATTTTTATATTATTTAGACATTGGAGCTGAATTATCAAATTGTTTTCGTACGTCCCCAGAAAAATTTATTTATTCGAGCAGTACCTATAGAATGAAATTTTTTTATTTTGAAATATATGCTATGTTTTTAACATTTTATAATTTAGAAAAATTTAAATTAATTCGTTGATATAATATTGTAATATTTTATAGGAAACATAATTTAAAAAAGGCAACTAATACAGTACCGGAATATAAAAATTATTCTGTTTTAAGTAATTATGTTATGATTTTTAATATTGTTAGTTTTTAGATAATATTTGTTAGTTAAATAAATTTTTGTTTTAATTAAATGTGTAATATTATTTGCAAATAAACCATTTTTATTCATAGTATAATTTCCGAAAATTTTAACTAAATTCTCTTCTAATATTGATATCATAAATATATGAAATTTAAGAGGATGGAACTAATAGATTTAGCCTATTATTATGTGAACCTTTTATATGAAATGTATTTCTAATATAAATTCATACGCTGAAAAATTTTTAATTAAAGGATAAATTAGTTGAATATACTCTCATTTTTCATATTAAATACGGTTTTGTTGGAGGTTAGTCTATACTAATATTATAAAGAGGTAATGTTTGTAAGTAAGTTTGTATGTAGCGGGTAATCTCTGAAACTACTCATCCGATTTCAAAAATTCTTTCACCAATATTTAGAATGGAACTTCAGGGTGGACATAGGCTGTATGTTATTCCGTTAAACATTCATATAAATCAAAAGATATAATCTAGGTTAAGGCTTTTATGTCCAACAGATGGCACTACGAGTACGACGAATTTCGTGATTTTTCCGCCTTTCTGTCACTAAAGAGGAGGATTTTCGCGGATTAGTCCTTGCATATACATTCATGTTAACGGTAATATGTACTGTATTAAAAAATCTAATATTCTCGTGTTTCGTGTCCGCATAAAGACGAATAAAAATTTCGATTTTAAGCTGATTCTTCGAACCGAGAAAAGAATAGACTTGAAGTATAGTAACCCCCTTTTATCAAAATTGTTAATAATTCTTTTTGAATGGAAACTGTGTAATCTATTAATAAAATTGAACTTTTGTTAAATTAAGATGCCCGAATTTCATAGATAAAATCTTACACATGATAAGGAGTAACGCTCTGAAATATAGGAAAGAAATGAGATTTATTGAGTGACTAAACGTCCCTCTTGAGAATGATTTATTTTTTCATTTAAAACGAATTATAAACTTCAGTGTAGACGTGTTAAGCCACGTGTTAGAAAAGAGAAGAGGAAGTACACTGCCTCTTCATACACAATACGATTTCCAATACAAGTTGTCCCCTGCTTCTGACAGACAGTGATCACTAGGTATAGAAGGATCACCCATACAAAAGTCAAATATAATAATTTGAATCAGAAAATATATCTCAGTCAGTAAATGATGAAATGATGCAGCCATGAACAGTCGAGGGTCGGTCAGACAGCTATGTATATATATAACTTTATAAATAAATATAATATTTAATCAATTAGTTTCTAAATATTGAAGGGTCTTGTGAGGATCCGAATCCAGATTTTCAGTGTATTTATATCATTACATCATAATATCACATTGTAGCTATACTTTTGTTAAATAACTGTCAACTTTTACACCTGGGAGCTAAACATCTGTTAAGTTCTCAGCCTAATAACGACTCTTTCTCATCACCTTTCGACCCAATATCTCGATTTCAGCAGTACATTAGAACAGAACAACAAAGTGAGGCAGTCGTCGTCCGTCCTTCGAAAGAGTCAAGTTGTCACCCGTACAGTACCTTGTCCTAAGTGCCTCAATATTCGGATATCTGTGAATATATCATTTTATTCTACGTTTTTATATCCTACTAAAATATCATTGGAAACCATCGTCTAACACCTTTGCGGATACTGTACTGTACGTTCCATCAGGCTTACGGATATTTCCTCTACAGGATACCCGAACTGACATCCCGAACTTCCTCTCTTTCACAAAGAACGTTCGAGAATCTCAATCAAGATATCATAAAAGATATTTATCGCCACGCGCAATTTCTGTAAACTCTCTCTCTCTCGAGAATCGCAAAAACGTTAACATCCGATATATTTATTTAATATTTATCAATCGTAGAAATGTATCTAAAAGCTAGCATATTTAAAATCGAAATTTTGTATGGCCTATTGTTACTCATTAAATAGTTGTTACGTTAACCCGTCTTTGAGTAAGTCACTTCCGGTGCGCTGTCTCGCACCGGAGCGATCAGATTCGGCTCCATCCCGAATCTGAACGCTCCGTTACGAGACCGCTCGCGTGACGGAGCGATCAGACCTAGTTAACGGGGTTCCGTGTCCGCCGAGACGTGGTGGTGTCATCTTGACAGGGCATCGAAGAGGTGCCGACCCTTCGGTTACAGTCTTATAAATTTATAAAATGATGTTAGAAGTTTAAAACTCAATGACTCGGTATGTAGGCGAGTAGCCACGTTTTTTTAAACCTCTAAACCCTTCGTTACTGTTATTTTAAAGACAGAAAAAACTGCGCAAATATTAGTAGGAAATTTTGGTTACTGAATCGGTTAGTTTTGTAATAAACCCCTCTAAAACTAACGACTTAGCGACGCCACTAGTTCGATTACGATATCGATGTACTGGTCAGAGTTTATTCTATTATTTTCATATAATCAGTCGAAATGTGCAAGGTTAATAAATGTACTAATCAATGCTAATCAAATGTGCAAGGTTAAATAATAAATGTATCTTTTAAAGTTTGATTAGCATATTGCAAAAATAAGGAGAGATCATACTTGTTTGTTGTTGGCTATTGTCAGTATAGGACCATCTCATCAAATATAGGACGTCAAACACGTTTTTCTGGATGACGAAATTTCAGAAGAATAAACATAAATTTTAGATAATTCAAAAATTATCACAACTTGTTACTGAACATAAAACATTTCTTACGTTTCATCTATTTACGTATATAGAAAGTAAAGAGATAACGATAAAAGGATAAAATACTGTGTTGTAACTCGCCCCTAGATAAATGTATACCTACTATGGTTAGAGATGTTATCGAAGCTCTCTTGTTGGTTACAGCACTATAAAAAGTTTTTCGAATATTAAATTGCAAACTAAATCAATTTTCTTTTATTTGAGGTGGTCACTTCCTCATATACGCAAAGCATTATTTAAATTTGACATTTTGATTATGATATATAAGAAATATGTACACAGAAACTGTTTTCTCTGCTGTAATCAGAGAAATGAGTTAATCAAATTGGTGTCGGTTGTAACGTTTCCTGTTTATGGTGTAAATTTTGCTTTATTTTAAATATTTATAGATAGATTTATAGTTTAATTACAGTTTTTCTAAAGTAGCAGAGTTGGAACAGTTCACAATGAGAATAGATAAGAAAACGAGCAATTATTTACTGTCATATCGTCAAAATGCTTGGTTGCAATTTTTAATTTCTTTAATTTTTAAATGTATGCTCTCCACCTCAAATTAGTAGTGGCTTGCCCCTGTACATCAATAATTTTCGTTAGCAATGGAGTTGTGCCGGTCATCTATTAACTGCTTTCAGGGGAAAATTTTTGAATTGAAATAGCGTGATTTCTGGTTTTACCGGATGTTTGTATGTAGTTAATCGGGCCTCTTGCATCTACATTTTCCATATTAGATTTCGGATTTTATCTAAGTAACTCGGTTCTTGCGATTAAGGAAAGGCAACGGACGCACGACAGTGGGAATTTATAGGTCCATAACTTTTTTTCAAATTGCAGCTCAATAAAAATTATATATTTATTACTTTGGTAAAAATAAATTTTCCTGAATAAAGTACAGTATTGTCATCAGTTATTGTCGTTGGAATTGTAATGTAAAGTACAACAGTACATTATGGATTTGTACAGGTATACCTCGCCTTACGTCGGTAATTGGTTCCAGGAGAACGACGTAAGTCGAAAAACGACGTAAGTCGAATTTACTTGTCTCCGAATCTACTTGTCACTAGGCTAAACCATAAATTACCATTCCTGGTTTTGTATTTTATTTATTAATGCATTTTTAATAATATATGGTTAATAAAAATCTATTTCAAGCTTACAAACAAATAAATTTTAGTTTTTAATATAGTACAGAAGAAAGTATTCTAAATTTACGAATGCATGTACTGTAAATACAGAACATACTAGTATATATTTTAATATGATTTTATGTGTTTTAAACGTTTTTCTAGTGATATTACGACTTCAATATTTGTGGCGAACAGACGTAAAGTCGAATAAAATGACTTAAACTTGATTTTTATTTTTCCATATACTTTTTTAACAAACGACGTATAATCGGGAACGACGTAACTCGAAACGACGTAAGTCGAGGTATGCCTGTATTTAAAGTATCAGTGAAGATAATATAAAAAAGTTTATAAATCAGTTTATTAAGCTGACGTGTTATATATTATAGTGTTTCTTCAATCGAACCTCGAATAATACCATCTGCTAACGGCGATCATCTCTGAACAGCGACCATTTTTTATGTTCCTGTCAGTGGCCGTTATTCAGAGCTTAGACTATAATTAAATACATTATTATAAGACTATACGGCTGAATTCATGTTTGTTTACTTTTTGGATATTATTCGTCCTTAGATAAGCTTTAATTTAAGCTAAACTTTATATCAAAAATTATATATTAAAATGGCGGTTTCACGGCTTAACAAATCCAGCTTCGAATGATTAGTAATTTTTTCTTTTAATTTTACTTAAGTAATTTTACAACACTCCCACATTAATATAGTACACGTGTCTGTATTGATAATATTCAAATATCTTTTCGATTTTTATGTTATCAGCTTATAAATATTCATATATTATTCATACGTAATACTTCTCATTTAATATTCATTTCCGTGTGATGGATTTGAGTACAATTCTATTAACTATTGTTATTTGTCTTGTATTGTTTTGGATAAGGTAAGAATATTTATTTATTTCGATTATATTTGTTTGTTTATCTTATCAAATTTAAAGAATTTTCAATATAATATAAATATTTCTTCATTAAGTTTGAGAAAATTCTTATTTCATGTTGCACCTTTTTTAAAGTTGTGAATCTTATTCGTAGAGTTGCCAAGTATACAGTACAGAATTTTTCAAAAATTGTTCCAAAATGTTCTGAAAAATAGACAAAGAACTGTGTCTTTTTCGTTTTAATAAGAACTTATTAAATATACTATTCAAAGTAGTAAGACACATAATTCTAAATAATCTACTAATCATATCACTTCACAAAGGCATATGTTTTTATTAACTTAAGAACTTTAACAGATTTTACGTTAAAAAGCATAACTGTGATCCTAGAAATTTGTTTATTTTGGGCTGAAATTTGTAAAAAAAAACTGTATTTCCGCTATCGACCGTGTGTGTCTGTCTTTCCTGAAACTCGAGAATGTATTAGATAAAATGATATTCAAGACCAGAAATGGAAAACTTACATGCAGGAGGCTCCGATTAACTATATAAAAACTTCCGATGCAATCCAAAAGTCACATTATTTTAATTGAAAACGACTGGCACGAATTCAAATTGACTGGCACGACTCCATTGCTAACGAATAAGAATAATTATGTACAGGGGAAAGCCACTACTAATTTGAGGTGGAGAGCATATACAGTATTCAAAATTAAATAAAATAAAAATCGCAGCCCGGCTGCAATTGTACAGTACGTTATGTTATGAATTCTTTTAGCACCGTAACTATTTTTTAAAACTTCCAATAAATAAAATTATTGAATTAACTGTGATCTATCACTGCTGCCTAATAAAATTATACGTTAAGTCAAATGAAATTATTTTACTTTTACTTTACTTTACTTATTTTATAATTTACTTTTAGGAGTTTCATTTTGCCATACATGAGTGTATGTATATAGGGGAGACCGGGGCAACTTCGGCATGCGGGGCAAGTTTGTCAAGCGCTTTTTTTTAAAAAACAAATTAAAAGGAAACTTTGGTTATAGGTTAGGCAGTTGAGTTTTATTGGTGGCTTGTTGAGTGTAGTGTTTTTATTGTTCTCCAACAAGCGTAGTTGAATTATCAAGCAAATTTTCATTTTCGTTCAATTCCATATAATATTTTTTTTCCATTTATATTGAATTGGCAGGTTTTGTTATAATTCCATGATAACGAAAGTTACTTTTCCTGTTAGAAGGATGTAACTTCAACTTATTCACGTGGCCAGATCGTGGCTTGGCATTCTGTTCTCAGGGTTGTACTTAATGTTTCGAAATCATGACTAGCGGGGTAAGATCGGCAACATAAAGCCACATTAGAAGCAAAGGATAAAAATCAAACAGATGATAAATGAAAACATGTTTGCATTTGTTATTCATGTATATATGTCTTTGAACTTGCATTTCGTTGTAATAATATTAAATGGGTGTTGGATTTGTATTTCTTTGTTTTAATAGTGAATTCCAACTTATACATTGTTAATAACATAATTTTATATACGTGCCTATCTTGCCCCATTACTGTTGCCCCTATACCAGGGGCAACTTTAATAAAAATAATTAAAATAATTACAACTTTACAAAAAGAGAGAAGTTGCCGATCTTGCCCCAATACCCGGGGCAACTTCGTCAATTTCTCTCTTCTTGTAAAGTTGTAATTATTTTAATTATTTTTATTTCCAAACTGATTTTAACCAGTTCTATAGTAAAAAAACATTCCAATAGACAATATGCAAAGCTTTTTTTTCAGTTTACACAGTATTTATTACACAAAATTTAAGTAAAGCTTAACATGCCGATCTTGCCCCGGTCTCTCCTATTATTTGACTAATATTTAATTTTATTATGCAGCAGTAATAGATCACAGTTAATCCAATAATTTTATTTATTGGAAGATTTAAAAAATAGTAACACTTTCAAAAGAATTCTTAACATAATTGACAAATTTTTAGGGGCCACAGTTATGTTTTTCAACGTAAGGGTAAGATCTATCGAAGTTTATACTGTATACATATATATACTTTATGTTATCTATATAATGTAGACGTGTATGTGGAAAACAGATCTATACAATATTTATATGTTTGTATGTTTCGCCTATTTTGCATCATATCTCACGACCGGGTAAACCAAAACTGAAACTTAGCAGGATATTTTTATGCACAATGCTATTAAATTTTGGTGGTTAAGAGTCAAAGGGATAGAGAAACTCATGTCATATCTCGAGTGGAGTCAATGAATATTTTAGCCGTTATTAGCATTTACAATTAAAAAAAAAAAAAACTTACCACTATCCCCCAAAATAAAGTGTTAGCCGTTTTATAATAATCAATTTAAAACAAAATCTCCTAAAAGTTGGCACCACACATAATTATTTAAATTTAAATAGACTATTGTTTTTGAAAAATAGAGAAATTCATTATAATTACGACTTTTAAGATATTTAATTATTATTTAAATTTTATAAATATTTAAATATCATTCATAATTGAGAATTATCGTACTTCTTTCCTGGTTCCTTAAACCTCTTTTTGTGTGTCGGGAAAATTCTGTAACAATTGAAGAAATTCAAGACATTAACGAATTCAATAACATTAAATATCAACAGGCTTTAGTGATTGTATAATTATTCTATATTTAAAATCGTCTTATTATTTTAGATGGAGAATATGGAAAATGAATATTTTTCAAAGATATGGTATTCCTGGACCAAAAGCCAACTTTATTACTGGAAATCTATCAGAGTTTATAAAGAAGGTATCAACTGATTTCTTCTTATAATGTGGGCTTATTCATCGAAACATTTGCTACATATTTATTTATTTATAGAAAAACAAATGTTTTGCAGAATGGAGAGAAAAATATGGAAATATTTTCGGGTATTGTTTATAGTTAATAGAATAAATGTATCTATTTTAATTTTGTTGTAATAATGTAATATTAAAATTACAGATAATTTACAATATATGAGCTGTTGAAAGTGGGGCAAATGCATTTTATGTTATTGCTAGATATTTAATGGTTTGCATTTAAATGGATTTAAAAATATATGTAAACAGTAATAGATTTATTTTATATTTTCTTGGTTTATTTCATGTAAATTTAATATGCAATAATGGTTATCCGTGTTAGATGAAAAAATTCATGGTTTTGGTATGCGCCAATGGACTTGCCTTACTTTCAAAAGCAATGATTTGTTGAAAACGTTGATATCAATGGCTAATATTATCTTCATCCTTATTTGCAATGTTGTTTCAGTTTCTTTTTAGGTGGAAAACCTTGTATCGCGTGTTTTGACACAGAACTCATTAAACTTCTACAGATCAAGGAGTTCAAAATATTTTCTAACAGAGATGTAAGATTTCAATATTTTATATAGTTAAGCGATTATTGCAATAAACTTTTTCTTTTTACTTTCAACGTCTGACTCTTGCAAAACGTAGAAAAAAGAATTTTCTGACAGATTTGAAATGTTACTTTACTATAAAGGTTTTAAAGTAGTTAAGTTTTAAAAATTAATATAATTTCTCAAAATATTTTATATTCAATTTCTTACATTTAAGTGACTAAATTACAGTATTACAAAGTACTGAATGCAAAAGAATTAATTAATAAATTTTAATCAAAAATACGCAACATAAATTAACTTAATATATACGAAATATTCGGCGTGATGCCTATGACGGTTAAGGACAAGCGTACTGCTCTGGAGGACCCGTATCGAATCCGAGCGAAGTGAAAGACTTTCATGGGTGTGGGTTGAGGTCCGACATATCGTGAATCCAGTCTCGTTCTAACCGGCCACCCAATTGTAGGCTTGCCCAAACTCACGATATGTCTGAAAAACTGTCGTTTTAATGCCCACAGAGAGGAAAAAGTCCACCATATACATAGGGGAGACCGGGGCAACTTCGGCATGCGGGGCAAGTTTGTCAAGCTCTTTTTTTTAAAAACAAATTAAAAGGAAACTTTGGTTATAGGTTAGGCAGTTGAGTTTTATTGGTGGCTTGTTGAGTGTAGTGTTTTTATTATTCTCCAGCAAGCGTAGTTGAATTATCAAGCAAATTTTCATTTTCGTTCAATTCCATATAATATTTTTTTTCCATTTATATTGAATTGGCAGGTTTTGTTATAATTCCATGATAACGAAAGTTACTTTTCCTGTTAGAAGGATGTAACTTCAACTTATTCACGTGGCCAGATCGTGGCTTGGCATTCTGTTCTCAGGGTTGTACTTAATGTTTCGAAATCATGACTAGCGGGGTAAGATCGGCAACATAAAGCCACATTAGAAGCAAAGGATAAAAATCAAACAGATGATAAATGAAAACATGTTTGCATTTGTTATTCATGTATATATGTCTTTGAACTTGCATTTCGTTGTAATAATATTAAATGGGTGTTGGATTTGTATTTCTTTGTTTTAATAGTGAATTCCAACTTATACATTGTTAATAACATAATTTTATATACGTGCCTATCTTGCCCCATTACTGTTGCCCCTATACCAGGGGCAACTTTAATAAAAATAATTAAAATAATTACAACTTTACAAAAAGAGAGAAGTTGCCGATCTTGCCCCTATACCCGGGGCAACTTCGTCAATTTCTCTCTTCTTGTAAAGTTGTAATTATTTTAATTATTTTTATTTCCAAACTGATTTTAACCAGTTCTATAGTAAGGTAACATTCCAATAGACAATATGCAAAGCTTTTTTTTCAGTTTACAGCAGTATTTATTACACAAAATTTAAGTAAAGCTTAACATGCCGATCTTGCCCCGATCTCCCCTATATAATGTATTTTACATAATTCTATTCTATAAAAAATGCAATTTTATTTATTCACGAAACTTTATTTGTAATTATTGATTTCTTACTTGTCTTTAATTGCATTCTATATCATCACTGATATAATAAAAATATTATTGGGTTGCAATTTGAAAAAATTGTAGACCTATAAATTCCCACGTTTGTCCGCCCTTCAGACTGTCTTTCTTAATCTCGAGAACGAAGTAAGATAGATGAAATATAAGACCAGATGTGGAAAGCTTAGAGGCAGGAAGTCCCGATTAACTTTCGAATACATGAACGTCCGATTCAAACCGTAAATTACGTTATTTCACGTTATTTTAATTCAAAACTTTCCGCTGAAAGTAGTTAATAGATGACCAGCACGACTTTATTATTAAAATAAAAGTATGATGTACAGGGGAAAACCACTACAAATTTGAGGTGGAGAGCATATATTTAAAAATTAAATTAATTAAAAATATGATTAAAAATTGCAACCCGGCATTGTGATGATGTCACAATAGATAATTACTTTACAAATGTAAGTTAGAAACATATCAGAATTAATATACTTTTGTAGAAAAATAACAATTTTATCGTTGTTTTAAAATCGTTGATAAAATATTTTAACGAAATAGTCGTTTCTAGTTGTAACTCATTCTAACTGAACGAAAAGCTTTAAAACATTAGAATATAAAAGTAACAATGACAAATGTTAATAACGAACAAAATCTTATCCCTCTCGAGATATGACACACCTTTATTTCCTCACCCTTTCGACCTTTAACCAACAAAATTTAATAGTGTCATTGCCTTTCATATACAAGCCACCATGCCAAATTTTATTTATTCCATCCTGAGATATTAAGCGAAATAGACGTCAACATTCACAGAATTTATTTTAGTTTTTTTTTGGATTCAAGTGGTCTCAAAACTTGGAAGTTTGTAAAAAATTCTGAGGATCAAGTTTGACACGATTCTAATACCTTCCCTTGTTAAGTATAAAAAAGTAAAATGTATTACTTTTTTATACTTAAATGTACTACGTAATTCTTGAATGTTTATTCAAGAATTACGTAGGAAGTGAATTAAATGAACTATGTAACAAAGTATTTGCATAAGTTTTGCTTTTTTGATTTATTTTGATACTTCAATTCGTTAACTTTCTTTTCTTTTCTTTTAACTTTTACAACTTAAAAATGTATTTTCATACATGAGCGTATATAGCCTATAATGGACAAATTTAACAATGGTATTTTAATATTTATCATTAAACATTGTAGGTACTGCTTCCAGATGCTGGAATTTCACATAAATTGGTTAACCACGCGCTCCCATTAGCAAAAGATAAAAATTGGAAAAATATGAGATCTATTTTAACTTTCTGTTTCAGCTCAGCAAAAATAAAAAAGGTAGCATGTACAATAGTTTTTTCCCCTTAATTAATATGGAAATATTAAAATTTCGGTAATTTCTAGATGTGCAACCTGATTTCCGATTCAATACAAACTTTTATGGAAAAAATTCAAAAACAAAAACTAAAACCTTTCGACATTGCTGACTTTTATAAAAAATTAACATTCGATATAATATGTAGAATAACATTTGGAATTAAAACGAATGTACAAAACGAAGAGACAAATAAATTCGTTAATTCAGTTCATAAAATATTTACTGTTGATTTTGATATACTGGTTACTTTATCAAGTGCGTATTATTTCTTTAAATATATTTATATATATTATATTTAAATAAAATTCTATAGTATTAAATATGTTTTTGGATCGTTTAGTTTGTTTTCCCGAGTTTGAACCAATTCCAACTTACATTAGAAGAATCAAAGATGTCATCATTGACACAATGAATTATCCTTCGTTCAAATTTGTTTTCGAATCTATCCAGAAGTTTGTCAGCACTCGAAAAGAAACAAGAGTAAGATCAATAATTGAAACTATTAAAAATAAGTTATTTAATAAATTATTTTTGTTTATTTTTTGAACAGTATCATTCATCGGATATTCTACAGATCATGATAGAAGCGGAAGACGATACAAATCCAATAAAAAGTCTTACAGAGAAACAAATAATCGCAAATGCTGTTACTTTCTTAGCAGCCGGGTATGCCAGCTCGAAACGAATAAATTTAATTGATTTGACAATTTTTAAGATTGTTTTTATCATAAACGTTAATACTATTAATATTTACTTTTTAAAATGTTATAGATATGATACTTCCAGCAGTGCCTTATCATTTTGCTCTTATCGCCTTGCTCAAAATCCCGAAATACAGGAAAAAGTTCGCCTAGAAATTAACGAAAATGTCAAAAATAACGTAATATGCTATTTTTGTCTTATAATTTATTTAATACTTAATATATTTAGAATAATCAGGTATCTATAGTTTATTTAGTAAAACTAAATTCTTAAATAAATTAAGCATAAAAGTTACAAAATTCTTTTTTTAATAAAATATATCATCTAGTGTATTAAATAATTACTATATTAATCTAATTTTGTTTTGAATTTATAAAATTACTTTTTAATGTAGAGCATTCAATCGAAAATTAGTTTAGTATTACAAATTACTTTTAAGTTTAATAACCCTGATATAATTATTAAATTTTTTTTTTGGATTTGTATTAAAAATTTATTTATGTGAAGTTCAAAAATTTGAAGTTACTTAATTCTAGTTTTTTCCCTGGAAAATATAATTTAATTAATATTTTTTAATTATTGTAAAAAAGAGCAAGAAACTGTTAAGGAATAAGAAAAGAGTTCTCGTAAGTATAAAAACTGTAAAATAAAATAAAGATTATATAAATATTTTATTTTAAAATTTATTATTTTCATAATGAATTCCATTTAATAATTTATTAAACTTCCAGCTACTTTGAATATATATTTTATCACGTACTATTCGTTCTAGGAAGAAGGCGCATCACTTCCAAGTGATTCTGTGCAATTGTCAATAAAATTGTCATAAACATATTTTTAGTCAATACAACGATACAACGACCTAATGCTATAATTTGTTTTAATATACTTTAAGTTCTCTTGTTAGGAAAGATATTTTTTGAAGAACTCTACAAAATCTTTAGATCAATCCAGCCACTTGTTACAAAATTGTTAGCTTCAAGTGATTTGTCGCTTTCGTGTTGTTAAGAGATAAAAATTGTGTTTTTAAGAGAAGGTGTCGTCATATTCTATATTCTTTAACTACGATCTTCTCCAAATAAATTTAAGTTATATACTGTAGGTATAGATCAACTCCATCACACATTACAATTTGACTTTGTACTAGTTGACGTCTTTAGCAGTAAGAATTGTTAAATAACCAGCTAAAAATGCATGTTTTACCATTTTCTACATGAGACAAACGTTTAAACGCAAGTCAAACTATGTACACCTCCACGAATAGCACGACAAAAATATGGCACAGGAGGCGGAGCGATGACTATTTGACATTGTGTGATGACGTTTATGCTGAAAATTCGCTATTTTTACTTATCATTTTCTTAAGGAAAAATAATTATTATAAATATGTATTTACATTTTCGTGTGTGTTTTTTAAAACTATACATAAAGGATTTTACTTTATAATTTCTATCACATTTTAAAATAAATATTAATAAATTTATAAAGCGAACTAAATTAATATAACTATTTATGTTCAGCGTACCTAGATTTGATCTTTGTGTATAGACTTGTAACTTTTCATAAAATTAATTCACAGAAAATAAAATTAATGTATATTATACTTTATATACGGGATACATAAAATAAATATAAAGTATATATTTTTATTGCCATATCTTACAGAAAAGCATAGAGTACGCAGATTTGATGAATTTTAAATATTTGGATTATGTGATATCAGAAACACTTCGCCTTCATCCCGTTTCAGCCTTGCAAGTCTTTTTACTAATAATTGTTTTCTTGCTTCAAATAAATTTCATATTATGTAATAATACCCTATCAATTTCAGAACTGTCAACAGAATTTGTTCAGAAGATTTTAAGTACAAAGATATTACAATTCCAAGAGGAACTACAATTATATTTCCATTACCGAGTCTCCATACAAATGAAAGTTTTTGGCAGGAACCCGAAAAGTTTAATCCCGATAGGTAAACACTTTTACTGGTCATAAATAAATAATGAAATCTAATGGAAATTTTACAGGTTTTTACATAAAAATGAAGTAACAAACGATTCTTTAATTTATCAACCTTTTGGAGCTGGTCCGAGATCATGTATAGGTGTGAGGCTGGCTCAAACAGTTATGAAATTAACTTTGGCTAATCTCATTCGATATTTCAAAATCGAACTACATGGAAATTCGGTGAGAGCATTTTTAAAAGTCTCAATAAAATTTTATTAAGTCTAAATATATTAATAATCATAATATCTTATAGGATATCGAAGAGGATAATTCATTGTTTGTAATTCATCCCAAAAATGGAGTTAACATTAAAGTATTTCCAATAACATCGTGAAATTTCCTATGAAAATTTCACATGCTTTCAATATTTTTAATAGTTGATAAAATGAAACTTTCGTAATGTATTTACAGAAATCAAATTATTTAAAATGCAACTTAGTAAAATTCATCAGATTAAAATTTGTTGTATATTTGATACCATTTATTATTAGTTTTTTCTGAACTAGTTATTAATTACGATTATTCAATTCGAATTAATAAAAATCAGCATTTAACTTAACGAATACAAATTACTTGAAATTCCTCCTTTTTTTTCTTAAAAAGTTATTATTTATTACGATTTATTTTTCTAATTATATTTACTCGTATAAAGAATTTCTAGTAAAAGTTAAACTGATGGTTTCACGTAGTTTGAACGTATAAGTAACCGTGTAATAAAAATTGTATTGATTATTAAAGTATCACAAAATCAATAAAAGAAGAAGAAACACACATGCAGTTTCGATAAATAATTTATTAATAAAACTTACATATTAAAATTCATGTAAAATATTTTATTATATTACTAAAATGTTATTCTCCAATGCAGAATTCAAAATATGAAAAATATTTGGTAAAGAAATGAGAATAATGAAATTTCAAACAAATAATATATTAATTTGAATATAATAACAATATTATCTTACCGAAATGCATTTGCATATACAGTAGAACCTCCATTATCCGGACCTCCATTATCCGGATTTTCGATTATCCGGATCGCTCAAAATAAACAAACATTTTACGAATTTGCTGATTTGCACTTGGCGAATTACGACACTGTTTATGTACGTGATGGAATGTATAACTGTTTTTGTTTCAACAACGTCTCACTCGGCACAGTGGTAGTAAACTCTTAAATATATTTTACATAGTAATTAAAATATAACTTGACATACGTATTTATAAATAATTTATATTCAAATTACATCATTTCTATGACCAAGAGCGGCGTAAGGCATGGACGACGTGGGCCACCGCCTATGCCTGGCGGTCCGAAGGGCCTCGCGTTTCGAAGGTTTATGCATTACTTAAAAGCCGCGAACGCGACGAAAAAATTTTACTCGTCATAAAACGATAAATAGTTTGTCAAATTTTTATTCATAAAAATGCAGTTTCAACTGCTTTTTATTTTATAAAATCCGTCTTCTTGCGCCACCAGAGGGCCTTTTAAACAATAGGTAGTCTGTTAGCGTTGGTCAGTAGTAGTCCAAATTCAATACGAACGTTTGTTTCTTGAAAATTTGATTACGATTTAAATACAGTACAGTATTTACTTTTAATATTACCTATATGTCATCGAAAAGAAAACGTGTTATATTATCATTAAAAGACAAATTAAAGTATTTGTTTCCATTATCCGGATTTTTCCTTATCCGGACTACCTTCATCCCCAATTAGTCCGGATAATCGAGGTTCTACTGTATATACATATTATATATTTAAAAATCAAATTGTAAAAGTACCAATGTCAAAATCTTACAGAAATATGAATATGATATTACGAGTGCCATTGAAAACTCTTATTTATTTTATGCAAGAAATGCCAATGTCAAAATATAAGTAGGAAAGAACATTATGACCATACCAAGGCCTACTTTTGTGAAAGAATAGCCAATGCTGACATTATTACATGGACATTTACACTTCTTGAGTATAAATTGTAATTATTATGCGATAAGTTTTTTATTTTAAAATCGACGCTTCAAATTCTTTATATAATTCTTGTAAATTTTCGTTAATGATTTTCGACGCTCTGGTGTTAAGGATTTCTATTATTTCTGGTAAACTGTACCTTATTACGTTTTCAATTATGAGTTTTTTTAACCAATTAAAAAATACTGTAAATCCACTCAATTCTATTAACTTAAGATCGTAGATATTAATAATTTGAAATAAAAGCAATCTAGTTGTTTCAGGAGAAAATGCGGAAGAGAGCGTTATTTTGGCATCAATTCTATCGATAGTGAAATACATGTGACCAGAAAACGTAAAAAACAAAATATTAAGTTGGTAATTTAAAAATATTCCAAGATTTGTTGTCGTAAATCCAGAATTAATAATAATGTTATCGCTTTTATCGTCAAAATTCCAAGTGCAATTTCCCATTCTGTATAACGGCAAAATTCCTATTCCCATTACATTCCAAGCTTTAAAGCAGCCAGCTTCGATGTTCCCTATGAAAGCAGGATCTAACCGTTTTCTTATTGACTCCTTGTTACTCATTTTTGTCAAAAAATTGTCCATCATTTCGCTACAATCATCTAAAATTAGACGATATTCGGTATTAATTTTGACGTTTAACAAATTTATGTAAATAATACAAATGTTTATATTTAACTGTACAGGAAAGTAAAAGTTTACCAAAACTTAATTTATATAATAAGAGATAAAACATTAACTAAAATTTAGAATTTAATAACTTACCTGATTTGGAGAGAAATATTAAACTTAATAAAATAATTAAAATTTTCATGTTAATAAATTAATTTCCTGGACGAAATATCTTTTCTTCCTATTGAAATCTAATTCTTCTTTAGTACTAGAACAATAAAGTCCATTAAATTAATTAAACTCTACAGATAATGTAATATCTACAATAAATACAAAAAATTATATCAATATTTAAAATAATTTATATCTTAATATAATATTTCTTTCTGTCTTACTTATGCTAATAATATTATTATTTACCATTGCTAATTTATCAATTAGAAAATAAATATTAGAAAATTGTTATAAATTATAAAAACCTGAAAGTTTCAAATTCAATGTTATGGTATTAGAGCTTCGCTACTTTATGGCTGTTGTGTTATGTTTTTCGTTGTTACAGTATATATAAAAATATTTTATTCTCACCATACGATTATAAATATACGTTCGTCTTTAACGGATGTTTTCAAATTTATACTTAATGTATCCGCCTGAATTATTTTGTATAAAATAAGAGTTTTGACGAAATAACAGGACGACCTTGCTATTGATAAATTATTTAAAAATATATAAAGGTTATTGGACAATTATTTATTTATAGAATGCTTTGTCGAATAAAGTTTGATATATATAGCCTATATTATATACATATATGAAAATGGCCGAACTTTTCGAACTTTTAAAATAAATTTAAGCGTATTAATTTTAAATTCTTTTTATTTATTATACAGAATATTTTTGTTATTACATGCTACAAATAATATGAAAATTTGTTTGTAATTTAATTATTATAGATGTAGTCAGCCGGAAATGTCGACAAATCGATCGCGACTGACAAGTCGAACTTGTTAAAAAAAATGGTGCGAATAGCAAAGAGTCTCTGGTAAATTAATCAAAGTGTCCCCATATACCCATGTTTGCTCTATAGAATTTTTAATATAACTGGGCCATAACGATTTCCAAAAAATTTAAAATTGTTGTTGTTTGTTAAGTTATGGCAATGCAAAACTTGGGCGATCTGCCTAGAGGGACGGCTTCCGGGATGTCCTTTCAAGGGAAACTGGCCTCTATTTAAGTGTTATTGACGTGGAGAAAACCCGGAAAACTCCACGTGGCCAGCCCATCCGAACGAGGCGCGAACCCACGACCGAACTCCCAGTGTTCAGGGTACGAACACCGCTCGGCCACTGGTGCCAAACTTAAAATTAACAGTATTGGCGAGGTTGTAGTGTGAAATAACACATAAGTTCAATGTTCTGTATATATAATAAATTGCATATTTTAGTTTATTCGTTTTGATTTCTTTTCTATACTACATACCTTATCATTATAAATGGTGATCGTGGATTATCTATGCTACTATGTAAATCTATTGAACTTTTTCTGTAAATTGTGCAATTTCCAAGGCCGCTAAAAATGTTCATTTTATAAAAATGAATTTTAACATACATAATATCACTATTTTCATTACAAACACTCGAACGTGATTAAAATAAAAACATTTATCAAGAGTTTCACAAAGTTATTGCAGTCGCCTTTACAATAATTCCATTTTTTGGACGAGGTATAAAAAGCGATAAGTCTTCTTCAGCTTCCTATAACAAATTATTAATTTGTATAGTTTAAAATAAAATGACATTTCTCTCGTGTATTAAATTAAATAGATTATTTAAACGAAAATCTTTTTAAAGTATAGTTTTATTTACCGAACTTCCACAAGGTTCTAATTTGTAGGTCCTTATGAGATTAGCCAAAGTTAATTTCATAATTGTTTGAGCCATTCTCATTCCTATGCAACTTCTTGGACCGGATCCGAAAGGTTGGAATATCGATTGGTCTATTAGTCCTGCATTCTTAGATGAAAATCTGATATGTAATAATCTAAAAAGTGGTTTTTAATCGAGCTGTATTTCAATGAATTAACAATCGATTTACCGAAAACAGTAGCGGCTTTTAAAAGTCACAATTGAAAGATAATGATTTTAACTCTTAACAAGGATAGATGTAAATAACGTGTATTTTTTGGACGAAGGAATTTCAGCATCATACTTATGCTATTGTTGGTTTATATTATAACTCACAATTTGTTTTGATTAAATTTTTGCATATAACATCAATACATGTTTAGAGCGTAGTTCTTGAAATTAAACTCATTCTTTCGTACTTTCTCTTATATAAATGTATTTACAAGATATAAGCGAAATATTATTTTTAAGAAATAATAAAAGAAAGAAGAGTATTTTAACTATCAAATTATGTATATTTATATACGTAAAATCAAAAACATATAAGTTATATACGAGAAATCTTGTTTAATTTATGGCAAAATTACTAAAAATGATTTTTACAAGTGATTTAATATCACTTGAATCAAAGTGTTATTAACACATGTGCAATCTAGTGAAAAGAATTCAGCAACGAGTTGCATAACTTTTCCGGCAACAACATTAAAAATTGCGTGTGGTGCCCCACACCACACCAATATGTTATGATATTTTATTTTTAAAACTGCTTATATAATTAATTATTATCAAACGTAAAAAGCTTAAGATTAAGGATAGAAACGAGTTTTATAAAAAAAAAAATGTAAATGCTAATAACGAGCAAAATCTTTATTAGATACTAAATATGACATATCACCTCCCTCTATCTTCCCATCTCGTCGACCTTTAACCATCGAAATTTAATATCAATCTCCCTAGTACATAAACTTTCCTGCAAAATTTCAGAAAATTTCGTCAAAAAGCAAGGAGTTATTAAGCTTCAGATTGGACGAAGAAAATCGTGCCAAACAATAACATACATGTATATATATTAAAAAATCCTCGAATTTGTTTGCATTTCTCGACGTTGCAAGATCCCTGAGTCCAAAAGTGTAAAAATCTTGTGATGGTCATCGATCACCGCCATACTTTTTCTCTGTTATACAGTATATAAGAGCAGGAAAGAAAAACCAATGTAATTGCTTAACTAGCAATGTACTGTAATAGCTTGCTTCAATAAAACTAATAAAACTCGTTTAAAGTAACAACTATTATGTTACTTTCAAGGTATGATAACATATCAGCCTGAATCTATGTTAAACAACTTCCCAAAGTTTCATGGCAATAGGATAAACGGTGTGGTAATGCATGAAGGACATACAGACAGACACACATACATTTATTCTTATGTATATAGATAAATGAACTTTGCTTACTATATATGATTATAAATAATATATGTTAATTATAATAATAAAATGTAAAATATATTGTTATATGTCATAATATATTTAAATTTACTTAAATGATACCAATTACATTGTTTTCGATGTTTTCGTTTATCTCCTGACGAATTCTTTCTTGTTCTTCAGGATGTTTAACCAAATAATGGGTGAACCATGCCAACATCGTACTAGTAGTGTCATATCTAAACAACAAAATAAAACTCAATGTGCACTATAACTTAGCATCAAATAATTCAAATAATTTGCATTTATTATTATTAATAAAAATTTAATAACCCAGCTATCATAAATAGAAAAGCATTCGCAACAATGCAATCTGTTGAAAGCTTCGTTAAGACACCATCTGTTTCTTCTTCAGCATCAATCATGATTTGCAAAAGATCCGGAGGATGATACTGACAGAAAAAAGTTTTAACTATCACCAATATTATTGTTATTTAACAATTTATAAATTGTAAATCTTACATCAGAGGTTTTTCGGGAAGTTACCAATTGACTGCATGTATCAAACACCATTTTAACAGATAGACAATTTATTGCATATTTTATTACATCAAAAATCTTTCTAACGTACGTAGGAATTGGTTCAATTTCTGGAAAACAAACTAAGCAAATAATATTAATTATTTATAACAAAAATCATAAAACTATTTTAAAAATTATTACTTGATAATATGGAGAGTAAATCAGAAGTATCAACTTCCAAGACACTGTAGACGGATTGCACAAATTTAGTTGTTTCGTCATTTTGTACGTTTGTCTGAATTCCAAAAGCTGTTCTACAATTTACATCGAAAGTTAACTTTTTATAAAATTCAGCAATATCAAACGGCGATTCTTCCTGCTTTTCTATTTTCTCCATAAATATATTTATCGGCTTAGACATAAGAGGGCTCATCTAAAAACATAAAATTTTGATATATTTATCTAATAACAATACATACTTTTGCATTTGTAATGTTAAATATTTATAAAGAAACATAATAAATATACTATATATCTAGAGTTTTATTAAAGAAGCATAAATACCATCTTTAATTTAGCTGTACTGAAACTTGTGCTCAATATATTTCTGGTATTTTTCCAATCGTCATCACATTGAATTGTAAGTGCTTTAGATACCAAATTGTGAGGAATTCCTCCATCTGGAAGTATCGGCTGAAATAAAAATTAATGAAATGTCAAGATTGTACGGTTATAATTACGAAGAAATTACTTAAAAACTTACATCTCTATTCGTGAAATTTTTGAATTCCTTTATTTGTATAAGTTTTATCAATTCCAAATCGTGACAAACAATCAAAGGTTTTCTTCCAAGGAAGAAACTAGAAATTAATAAGTATGAATATTTTATTTTTGTATTATAATTAATAAACTTCATTAAATTTTATTTTTAGTTGTTTATTCAAACACTATTGTGGTCCTTCATACTTAAAGTAAGATATGCACGCAGGCAAATGACTTCAGAAAAAAATTTTCGTAGTATAAAATACGAGTTTATAGTCATAAACTGACATTTCAACTATGTTAATTCTCTTCGTGATAATATGATGTATGCAATAATAAAAAAATATTGTATACAATTAATAATATTTATTTAATAATAAAGAAGACGTAAACTTCAGAATTTATTCCGATGTGTAATTTCGAAAATAAAAATTTACTTATAGCAATAGTAGTATTATTAATGGTTTCATTCAACAGAAGTTACATTTGATGCTATAATTACTAACGCAGAAGCTACTGCGGGTTGGAACTAAATCAAATTAATTTTGAGCATTTTATAATGATATTTTAAAAATTTATAGTTTTGTTAGAGTTCATAATTATTTGTTTTATTAATAATTATTCGATACTTCCGGTATTGCATGTCTAAAATGTAAATATTAAAAAAAAAACCATCCTACAAATCTATTTTAGTATACAGTCGACCCCCTATAACACTGTTGATAATTCCGTTTTATATGAATTCCATGTTGTATGACCATTGTTATGTGTATCACGAAATATCGAGAAGATCAAATCAAAGGAAGAATTGGGTGTTCAGATTACATGGAAGTCTATATTATCCTCAGAGTCTGAGTTAAGCAAGAATAATTTTGAGCAGGCTCATCAAAAAGCTAAGAACAGAAAGACAAATTTATATATTTTATATAAATAAAACCGACGACGGACATCTAGTCTGTCTAGTTCAACAGACTAAGCAATTAAGACGGATCAGATCCAGAACGGAACTGGATTTTCCACCTGTAGTCTCTATTAAAGATGCGCTTGGAAGCAAGAACGAATAATCGCGATAATTGGCTGTAACTGTCATGAGATTTTGGCATATCCACCTCTTTCCAGCAGAAGCATTTGGTGCACTAGGCACTTTCAGATCTCAAGGACGTTTAATTACAGATCGCATTTGACCAAAAATAATCCAATTTCCGTACATATAAAGACTTCTTAAATTAATAATAACTTAAAATTCTTATTTTTAACACACAAACTTACCAATTTTGAATTACGCGATTTTAAAGTTGCCAAGTACGACTATGAAACGAAATATCAACTGCTTTTTTCTGTTAAAAATAAGAAGTCTAAGTTATTGTTAATTTGAGGAGGCTTTATTTGTACGGAAATTTGATTATTTTTGCTCATATGTGATCTCTAATTAAACGTCCGTGAGATCTGGAAGTACCTATTGCACCAAAGAGATCAGTGACACGAAAATTACGTGAGAGCTGCAGTCAATTATCGCGATTATTCGTACCTACTTCTAAGCATATCTTCCATTGAGACCTGAAATAGTTATAGAGAAGGGCAAGAAACTATTCTTAAAAACTAAAGAAAGAGTTTAGTTATGTATTTATACATATATATTTCGGAATTCGGGATGTTTGATATACTAAAAAAAAGCATATATTTGTAGGGTTTCGTGAAATTGAACATAGCTCATCGAGCAAAGCTTATCTAATTTCTCTCTCTCTCTCTTCGAATTTCGGAAATACTATTCAAAAAATTCTAGAAAGAAGAAGTAAACATTATATTAGAAATGGTCTTCTGTATTTTGACACTAAAATGCAGAAGACTATTTTTAATAATAGCGGCTAAAACAGACAGATTCATTACTCTTACACTAGTCACAGATTGACGCGCAATTGATAAACTCCACAAGATATTTTATTTGTGATTCTTCTAATATCGTTATTGTATTTACATATACAATGCAGTTAAGTAGAATCAATATTAACGCATCTGCTAACATTAATAAAATTGTGAAATTGTAATTTTTATTTTTGCATTTTGCTGTAGTACACGTAAAACACCTGTTCATTTAATTGCATATTTTTTGACTATAAGTATGAAAGACTGTAAATAAAATGTATGTTTATTATACGGTATTTCAAATATAATTTTTAATATTATAAAAAATAATGACAATATTATCTGTAATAATCTATACCCAAAAACATTTCCATATTTTTCTATCCATTCATCAATGCATTTGTTTCTCTGTAAATTAGACAAATTGCATAAATATTTAATTTTAATACTCAGAATTGATCAGTGAATAAAATAAATGATTACTTTTCTATTATATTCCATTGCATTTCCAGTAAGAAACTTGGGTTTAGGCCCAGGTATTCCATATCTCTGAAACACGCTCATCTTCCTTTTTCTCCAGCTAGAAATATTAAGCATTTAGTTCTCATTTCTGTTGAGAAAATCTGATAACACATTAAATAATTTATCAATTATAGAATATAAAAATTTTTATTAATTAGTTATTGACAGTATAAAATAATATTAATTAAATTATCCACAACCGTGAGGCAGATAATAGTGAGGGCTTATCAGACCACTACCACTCCCAGCACCTTGTTGTAAGCTGGCACCTGCTACTCTACCTTCTTACTGTTTTTGCACCCTCCAGCATGCAAAGTCATGAAGATTTATTAATCCTGTCTACACTGATATTGCCTACTGCTCATACTGTTATAATGGCGTCTTCACTTTTATATTGTATAGTTTTAGGCACAGTTTTAAGTTTTTAAGGCATAGTTATCCAGATGATGATTGCTGATCTAAACTGAATTCATAGGCCGTTGATAGTTTTGGGGTCGACTTATAGAACAGATATATGCTAAAACTATCAATATTTGACGAAAATTTATACTCGTCTTATCTGAAGGTTGTCTTGTCTGCGTAAATATCCGCTATATTTAATCTGTGGACTAGCCTCTTATCAAAAAACGACCTTGATAATTTAACGACCTTTCGAAATTACCAGGAATTGAAATGCGGACAAAAGTTTTTACTAAAAAATTTTTTATTAAAAAATTTACAATAAAAATAATTACTTTTTATAATGTTATTTAAGCATAAAAAAGTAAGCAAACATCTTGAAATTTGACAATTTTTTGTGTTCTTTTCCCCTAAATTAAGAAGCATTTGACTCCTTTGTCTCTGTTCAAAAAGATACTAAAATGTCGACGATTAAATGTTATCTTTTCTACCATTTCACATCACTTAACGAAAATCATTACATATAATTTTAGTCCTATATAATAAATTTAATAAATATTTAAAATTTAAAACAAATACATCAAATTTTTAGAATAATCCTAAAAATTATTTTTATTTTGAAAAGCTTAAAATATTATGGATGGCTTAAAAAACGAATATTATTTTATTTTTAGCTAAATTATAAAATAATTCTTTTGAGTCTTACAGACACGTTATTATTCAAGTACTGTACAGTGCTCAACGAAGCAAAGATTTACAATAAACTGAAAAATACAAAATTGCTAAGTTTCAGAAGTAATTCATTTAATTAATTCTAAAGTCTAAAATACCCGTTCGTTAGTTCAAATATATTAATAATTTTTTTATAACCATTTGATAGGAGATATCATTGTAAAAATTAATCAGCTTACTAAGTTGTTTAAATTTTATTTGCAAATAAATAAATAATGCTCACCTTATCCAAAATAATATAAGACAGACGAAAACAGTTAATAACATTATTATTGGCGACATCTTGAATAGTCTTCAGCCGGATATGTGATATATTTGATAGAGGTCAACCTAAGTCGATAATCACTGTACTTTAATATTTACTTATCATAAATATTGTTGTTTATAAAATATCAAAGCAATTAATGGAAAATCATAAACATTTTTATAAAAGCACAAGTAAAGTTTAATATAGGGGAGACCGGGGCAACTTCGGCATGCGGGGCAAGTTTGTCAAGCGCTTTTTTAAAAAAACAAATTAAAAGGAGACTTTGGTTATAGGTTAGGCAGTTGAGTTTTATTGGTGGCTTGTTGAGTGTAGTGTTTTTATTGTTCTCCAACAAGCGTAGTTGAATTATCAAGCAAATTTTCATTTTCGTTCAATTCCATATAATATTTTTTTTCCATTTATATTGAATTGGCAGGTTTTGTTATAATTCCATGATAACGAAAGTTACTTTTCCTGTTAGAAGGATGTAACTTCAACTTATTCACGTGGCCAGATCGTGGCTTGGCATTCTGTTCTCAGGGTTGTACTTAATGTTTCGAAATCATGACTAGCGGGGTAAGATCGGCAACATAAAGCCACATTAGAAGCAAAGGATAAAAATCAAACAGATGATAAATGAAAACATGTTTGCATTTGTTATTCATGTATATATGTCTTTGAACTTGCATTTCGTTGTAATAATATTAAATGGGTGTTGGATTTGTATTTCTTTGTTTTAATAGTGAATTCCAACTTATACATTGTTAATAACATAATTTTATATACGTGCCTATCTTGCCCCATTACTGTTGCCCCTATACCAGGGGCAACTTTAATAAAAATAATTAAAATAATTACAACTTTACAAAAAGAGAGAAGTTGCCGATCTTGCCCCTATACCCGGGGCAACTTCGTCAATTTCTCTCTTCTTGTAAAGTTGTAATTATTTTAATTATTTTTATTTCCAAACTGATTTTAACCAGTTCTATAGTAAGGTAACATTCCAATAGACAATATGCAAAGCTTTTTTTTCAGTTTACAGCAGTATTTATTACACAAAATTTAAGTAAAGCTTAACATGCCGATCTTGCCCCGGTCTCCCCTATTAAAATAATCACATATAATATAAATATGAAATTTTTTAAAGATCTGATATAAAAGTAATGACACTATAAAAATGTGCTGTGATATACAGTAACAGAGCAAAAAAGACACATAATTTACAAACTATATGTCTTTCATATACAACGGAAAATATACAGAAACGAGATATCTCTAGGAAAGAATAGTTGTTTATTAATAAATTATGTGTACCTAATATTCATTAAGTAGAATAAGTCTGGGTGAATTTGTTTCTAACTCAAATTAAAAATTAAGGGGTAGAATTAATTTATTAGTAGGAAAATCTCTTGCAGTAAGAAATAATTTGTTGGATATCTGCTCTGAAATTTTGAGACAAATTTTTCTTTTTTAGTTAATGAACCAATCACCTTCAATTGCATGATTGACGGAATTCTTTAAACAATGTTACCATCGAAAACTATGTAGAGATCCAAAACAAACGAGCAAATACTTATTGTGAAATTTTCACAATGCTGGGCTGCACACTTTAATCATACATTTTAAATTTATCTAATTTAAAATATACGCTTTCCATCTGAAATTAATAGTGTCTTGTCCCTGTATATCATACGTTTCCGTTAGCAATAGAGTCGTGCCGGTCATCTATCTAACTCCTTTAAAAGGAAACTTTTGAATTGAAATAACGTAATTTCCAGTTTGCTTCAAAAGTTCGTTTATAGTTACTCGGGCCTCCTGTACCTACACTTTACACATCTGGTCTCGGCATCCATCTATCCAACTGCGTTCTCGAGAATAAGGACAGACAGATAGACAGTTAAACAAATAGAGAACAGTGGGAATTTATAGGTCTACAATTTTTTTCAAATTGCACTCCACAAACTAAATAATTGAAAGAAATAAAAAAGAGTTTTATTTATAAATATAAAGGGAATAAAAAATTAAAAAAAATTAATTTACTTATGAAAAAATAACTTCAAAGTAAAATTATTAACACCACAAATGACTATTTTAACATCGGGTAGAATATATTTTACTATTGGGTCATAACTATAATTTGTGTAAATTTCTCTATTTATTAGATCTTACATGACAACTGAAAGAATATCTGTGGTGATTTTTATCTACTTGTTTTTATTACGTTACAGCATCTAGAAAGTTGATGTAACTTTCCAAACAAGTTCAACATCATCATCATTAACCCTGGGTTCATTGCTCGTTGGTGTCTGATGCCTTATCCAATATTTTTTTCCATTTCACTCTATCTATTGCGAATTTTCTCAATTCCTGCATACATTCGATCCACACATTGACGATCACGAGCTTGAGGTCCCTTCTTTCTTTGGGTGACATACTTTTCAAGTTTAGATTCACGTAGTCAGAACAGTTACATAAAGATGGTTTCTTTCTGATTTTTTTTCTGCTTATGGTTTTTTTCTGAAAAAAAATGAAATAATTATGTAGTAAATAAGTAGTGAAAGTGAAATGTTTATAAAGAAATAAGAAAACCATAATAGCAACCATGAAAAACACTTTTTCGGCCGGTTCGCTTCTTCCCTTCTGCGGCCTTGATAGAATAGAAAAGTATTATACATGTTAAAATATTTAACATTATACTTGTATTAGTCGGGAAAGTTCCACTTTCAAGACTAATGCACTGATTGTGAAGAAGAATTTTGCGCCTTCTGGTAAAAACTAAGTAAACAAAACGAATCCGAAAAATTTACAATCGTTAGAAACAACTTTACTTTTTAAAGAGCTATTTCATAAAAGATATTTCCTATAATTGTGTAGTTTATTTATCTTTTTGATTTTTTGATTGAAACAAAATTAATTGTTTTCAACTACTGCATGGATTAGGAAAATAACAAGCGATTAAACGATGTTTTTACAGAAAATTTATTACAGTATTTAACTTGCATTCGTCATTCTGTTAATTTGTTTTTTTTTTCTCTTCGGTTGTGTACAGAAAAAAAATCTGTAGATACTTAAAAAAGGCCTAATGGTTTCAGTGGCTTCTCGTTATAAATAAATAAAAATAAAAGAAATAATAATGGAAATAAAACAAAATAAAGTTGGTGTTTACTCGAAAAACAAGAAGAGACAAATTAATAGCCCAGCTGAGAGCCACAGTCCGTTTTATATGAAACGATCTGTATCATTGGTTTTCTTATTTTCATCCTGTCGCCGAGAAACATTTTACGAATGCAACAAATGTTTCCGAGTAACATGAATAATAGGTATGAATTTCGTTGGTAAATGAAAAGACCTCTTTGAATGCTTTGCGAACAGAAAGTACTTAAACCAAATACTTACATTAAAAGTGACATTACTAGTGTCTTTAGTTAATAATGAATGCATTTAATTAGAGATGTCTCTCAGCTTTCAAATAAACAAAGAAATAATTTCAAATACTAGCGTCAATCATTTTCTAGACCTAACTGATAGTGTCGAAACCATAATATTATCAAGATTTTAAATATTTACTTAATTATAATTAGTTCATGTGAATCGTATAAATTTTTGCCAATATGAAATTTCCCAAATCTTGTTCCCGAAATTAAAACAGGACAGATATAAACTTACACATAAGCAACATTTATGTACTGTATTTAAATTCCTTTTTGGAAAAATAAGTAGGCAATTTAAAGCTAATGATCTTTTGTGTGCTTGTCTTTTGTAAACTTAACGTCTATGTTTCGTTCGCAGATGTGCAAGTATTTAATTAATTTATTTCTGTCTTTTGGGTAACGCAACGCAATTCTATGCGTTTTATTCGCTCTGTAGAACAGCATCAAATTGCGATTGACATATTGTTTTTAACGCGAAAATTACAGCAAAATAAATCGCAGGGATAAATACGAACTGCAGAAATATCTCGGATATATACTGTTTATAATAGTTTTCGATGCAACGAGCTACCAACTTATGAGCGCGAGAGCTGACACATCATTCGCTTGATTTTCTATTGTTGCATTAAAAAAATTTGCTAATAATATAATTTCAACAATTGTCATAGCGAGTTGTTTGTTGAATTCGATTATTGTCGGATGCGAATTTTTCGAAAGCGTATTTTCTGCGATAAAATGAGTGGATTAAGTAAGTTTAAATTATTTGTCTATATGATTATTAATATCAATTTGCTTACAGCATGTCTATAATGTAAATATAAACAATGTTTTTAATATCACGATACAAAAAAGCTTAAAACATGAAAGAAGTTTGATATAATAAATTACAATCAGTATCGCTGCTTCATTATCTTTTACGATATAATGTTAAAAGAAGGGAGTGCTGTTAATAACAGTTAAGATATAACTCAAACCCTTGATTGCCTTCAAGGAGAATGAATAGATTTTTGTATTAATATTAATGCATATGTACTAAATAGCAAAATATGGAAATAATCAATTAATTAAATTAATACCTAACTAAATTCTTTTTAATTTCCTCAAGAACTTACCTCACTGAGGCAGTGGTGTACCGTGGGTGTCAGCCGCCCGGGGCGGACCCCACCGCCCCCCTACGGTACGCCACTGCACTGAGGATTATTTATAAACTCTCACAAACGTTTTCAACCTGTTCTACAGGCCAGCTTCAGGTTTTATAAAATTATGGAACAGTTAGAATAACTGATCTTTTCGAATATAACAATTTAGAACACATTTAATAAAATATAAAAATCTTTGGAATAACAAGCAATTTAAATCTAAAGAACAAAATGTAGTGTTCGATATATAATTTAAAATAATAAAATATTTATCTATACACAATTTAACAAAATAGTAAAATATAATCAGATGAAAAAAAAATTACATACTTGACAACAGTTGTTGATCGTATGAACATTATGTAATAATCATCAATAAGTTCTTTTTTATCTATATATTTTCACACCGTACGTAATACTGTGGCATCTTTATAGTTCATACAGCTGCCCGAGAGGTTACTTTTATAAATTTAAACTTTTTCCAAATTCGTCGCTAATGTCGGTGCGTGTACCAGTTTTATAACGCTAGCTTCCTCCCATTCTACCACTAATCCTTCGCTTTGCGCCATTCTAGGCAAAGCCGTACAATATGTCATATTTGTCAATGTTATAATTGTGCTCTTTCTGTGACTCCTGTGTATTCTTTCTCCAAACCCAATTGTTTGTTTTTTACGGATTTTGTATAATGCAGCCTGCTCTGTTTTTTCACTTTATCTTTATCATTTCTTATAAAGCTATAAATGGTAGGCGCTCTCTTGAAAACCAACCGAGTCTTTTTAAGAATAAAGTACGTCTTCTGATAAGAAATTATAATAGAATTTATATAGCGCATATTTCGACAATTTTACATGCTACTGTATACATATAATTAAGGAATTAATAATTTTCTATCGTATATTGCGATTATGCAGTAATAACAACGAACGTTAACTAAACTTAATTAATAATTTATTTGTATATTATGCAGTAACTGTGAAATATTTTGAAATAAACATTTCTTAACTACAAATAATAAGAAAGACAACATTTAAATTAATTTTAATTAACATTAAAATAAATTTTTATTCAATACTTAAATTTGCTTTATCTATTTGTTCATAACATTTCCAACGTTGAATATATTTTATGCAAATAACAAATGATTTTGTTTCTGGATCATATTCAATGTGCTTTTAATAAATGTCGTCTTAGACCTGCTTATAAAGGGGATATGTAAAAGATAATGAATGCCATCTAAAAGTAGTCCCCACTTCTCAAATGACATATCCTCATATCTCTCAACTAGTGTTACTATAAATATTGTAATAAATATTATAATTTCCAACAAAGAACATTTCTAATACATAAGCCTCTTCTAAATTTTGCTAAATATGGATAAAATTAATATATTTTAGCTGTTATCAAGAACTTGTTTGCTGGAATTTTGTATATAATTTGAAGCTTTTTCATTTGCTTCTTAATCAGATATAATTATAGTATTAGTTTGTTAGAAAATAAATTAATAATAATTATAAAATATTTGTTCACAGGTTTTCAGTGCTTTTATATTGAAAGATATTCGTCATTTGGAAATGACTATTACGTTATGTATGCTTATCAGGTGAGTGTAAATATAATAGTGTAAATAATACTTAAATGAACTGTACACGTAAATTGCTTGTTAAGGAAGCCAAAAATAATGATAAAACAAGCAATTTGATACCAAGTTTGCTNAATTTAATTAATATAAATGTTATTGAAAATTGATTGATTAGTGAATATTTCTTATGATAATATCGTGTGGTTCCTGTGATAAATATATGTTTTTATAAATCTGAAAAAGCAGTATTTAATGTTCTAAAAATATTTGATCAAAAAAACTTCTAAAATGTACTCAGAGCACGTTTTTTCTTAATGTATATTATGAAAGTTGAGTACATTATCAAACAATAAAATGTCACCTTGGGACAAAAAAATATTTTAAGGCAGAATTTCTTCAATTATTTACGATGAAAATTTATTACTATTCAATTTTAATAAATCTGGTTTATTTGTATATAATGTTTAGTATAAAACCATTACTTATATTAACTCTAAAATCATCACTATCCTGGATCTATCAGATGGAAAACAAAACAATCTTATATCTTTGGTTATCGAATTTCGACTAACTTCTATCATTTAGTGATTTAATGATTCAATTTTAGATTCAATAATGATTTAATGATTCAATTTAGTGATTTAATCGGTCTTTAGTAAACATATTGTCATTTCCTGAAAATGACGTAAAAGACAAAAGTTTTCTGAATTAAAAGGGAGAAGGTATATTCCACAACATAAAAAAATATAGAAGAAACTAAAAACGTCTTCAAACTTTCGTCGTGTTTAATCATCAGGAACAAAGTTTCCTGATAACCGAATCTTGATCCTGATGATAAGCTAAATCCTTTAAAAAATTCAAATTTTTTACAGGATTTGGCTTATCATTAGCGAACTTTTTAACTATTTACGTAATTGTGCAGAGAATTTACTTTTTAAATTTTTAACGGAGTTAAGTGCTAAAGAGAGCTTTATAAAAGTCTGATTTCGTAAAGTTATTCTTCCACGTCAGCATTGGTTTTATTATATTTTCGTTATTAATTATATTTGAAGAGTAACTCAGTTAAAATATGTTAGTTGCATTATTCTCGTACAATTCATAAAAATGAATGATCTTGTAGATATTATATAAAAGCTGAAAAATAATAATACAACAAAAAACTCCGTTTTATTCCTTTGGAACAATACATTTCTACGAATACAAACGCGAAGGTCTTTCAGTTATATAGAAATGGTGACGAAAACCGAATAATAAAGAATGAAATACCAATGATAAAAAGATATTTCCTTTTATTTATGCATGTAAAATATTTTCATTAAATATAGTTTATAAAAATACTACGTATTTATGTTAAGAAAACAACAATAATAATTGAAAATTGACTATCGCAGTGAGAAAAATAAAGTAACAGTTGAATATTATAATAACAAATTTTCAATGAAAAGTTTTAAAAACGTTAAAATATTTAATGCTTTTTTAATAAATTAAAATAATATCTTTTGTAGTACATTTTAGAAAAGAGAAATAAAATAATACCATATGACAATAATTATCAATCGATATGCCAGGAAATCATTCTAAATGTGTCGCGATATGAATTTAATAAATTAATACGATAAATTTTAAATGTACTAAAATAAAATTTGTATTTATATGTTTACTCAACTACATTTTAGAAGTTTATACTAGCCAAATACTATCAAAATGGTATTGTATAAAGATAGAAATCTTATTCTCTATACGACTTCAGTAGAAGTAGAGAATTATTGCTTCTTTATCCTCAATTATTGCATTGTTTTAAACTTAATTTTTCATAATTTATCTAATTAGTTAAAGCATTGAAAAAATAATAAAATAATTGTTTAGTTATCACAATAGACAGACATTTTTTTTATGAATTTGACAGATTTTTCTTTAACAATCAATTTTTTTATCGCATCAATAATTCTCAATGAATGTAAACTTATATAGGCTATTAATGACTGTGTATTTCGTGGTTATTTTATGGATTTTTTGTGGTTTGTATTATTGAGTATCATATATTGAATTTTTAAAGTGATTTTTCTGATATAAAATGTACGATTTTAAATCTTAGTAACAAAAAGATCTAAAAGAAATGAAACCCGTGTTTTTCGATCATGATAAATCTGAGGAAGTTTATAAAAATCCAAAATACATCTTTAATCAAATAAAAGTATTATAGCAATAATTGAAATGCTTTCTACTTGAAATTTTTACAAACAATGATCTAATAAATTATTTAAATTTAGCTATTTTAGATGCGTTAACAATTTAAATGAAATTTGAAAGACTAGAAGCAATTATCTGCGACAGAATTTTTCTTTACCAGTGATTAAAAATGGAATAGTCATTTTTGTGTAATATTCATTAATGTGAAATATGTTTGTGGTGTTTTAACATCGAAAGTTTTCGCGGTTTTCAAGAAATATATTATTATAACAAACTTATTGTGAATAATTTAACGTAAATAATTTAGAATTAATTATTAATTTAAAGAAAACTTTTATTAAAACATAAACACCAAGTATTTTCTTTTCAATCATCATTGAAACAAATTTAACTGATTGTACAATAAACAGAAAACGGAAAATATAGATAAGGTTTGAAGTAAGATATATAATAGTTGACTATTTAATAGAAAATAAACAAGTAATGAAAGTTAATTATCATGTAAATAGCTACATCAATTAAAATTTTACTATTTATCAATCTACTCGAATATGAAAATATAGACTATATAACATTAAACGTTCTTGTAATGCTATGAAAACTTGTGAATAGTTATTAAAAATGTTTATAAAGCAATCTAAAAATATGCGTACATTTGTTATAAAATGTTTAAATAATGTAAAGTAATTCGGAATTAAAGTAAATTTTATTTCTTTGTTTTTTTATTGACAAAAGTTGAAAGAGTAAATACAGTAAAAACCTCACTTATGTGTCCATCTTTGGACTCTGACTGGTAGTCGCCGAGGGTGTTTTAAAAAATCTAATTACGATACCGTACAGAATACTTCTAAGAGTTTAATACAGATTAAAAATTAAACAAAAAAATAAATAAAATAAAAAGTTGTGTGTTTCTTAAACACTATGTAATGTAATTAGTCGATCATTTTATTTGATTGCTATCTTTATTTTCAATCGTTATTAATCGATTTATTTGAAAATAAAGATATGAAGGAATGCCAAGTGATAGATTAATTATACTATATAGTGTTTAAGAAACACATAAGAATAACGGCACCGTTTCATATTAGCAAAATAAAAAGTCACATAACACTACATCCTTTCCAATAGGCAGTAATTCAAACTTTCATACAAGGTAATGTATAATAACACTAGAAATTGAACTACAGAAATTGAAACAATAGAAATTGAACTACAGAATACGTGTACTGTACAGTACATTGGGGCACATGCTCCAAGTGTCCTAATGTACGGCTCGTCCTTGACTATCGTCGTTAGTCTAAATAATTATATTTTGTAAAATTATCTAACAAATATACAATTGTCTTTCTTCATACTAAATATTGGATAAATTTAATTTATTGAGTGTAAATATAGATTTATTTTTTGTTGCTTTTAACCTTTCTTTCCTATGATTTACATCATTACATAATAATTCACACGATTTACATTAATTAAGAGTCATATGTCGGAGTGATCTGAAGAAACTGTTCCAAAACTATAGAAACAAAGTTCAATTTTGTTTAAAGTGCTTTAAACAATACAAAGCGCGTTTAAGAACGTGGTGTTTTCCTGTTCTGTTGGTCAGAAAAACAGGTAAATTCATTTAAAGACTCTTATCTTGGTTACATAAGCAAAACTGCCAGCTTAGTGAAGTGGTCATCAAGATGAAGTTTGATTATCTATACTAATATTATAAAGAGGTAATGTATGTATGTATGTAAGTTTCTTTGCAGCAGGTAATCTCCGAAACTACTCATCCGATTTCAATAATTCTTTCACCAATATTTAGAATGGAACCTCAGGGTGGACATAGGCTGTATATTATTCCGTTAAACATTCATATAAATTAAAATATATAATCTAGGTTAAGGCTTTTATGTCCAACAGATGGCGCTACNTATGGGACGGAACAAAACAGAAATGAATATTGGCCTCCTGCAGAAATAAGTGATTATGGGCCGGAACAAAACAGAAATGAATATTGGCCTCCTGCAGAAATAAACGTATATGAACCTCCTCCAGTTCTCCTGCATTATTTGACATCAACAGAAGTGCATCAACCTAGTCCGGTGCCAGAATTGTTCGATTATGGACAGCTGCCATTTGAAGTTTCCACAAATGAATCCTCTGGTCTTAATTCTTCGAAAGAAGTAAAACCAAACGCGAACCTGTCATCAGAAACTTTTGAATTTCCATCAGACACCAATGATCAGCACCTTAACGGTAAATTTTAGTATTTTGATACAAACATATTAATGTAAACATATATACATGAACAGTTTTATTTCATATAACTGTTCATAGAGCTAATGATAATAACATGAAACCGAGGCTGCATTTATACGGTCGTTGCTAAGAGTGCAAGGTAATTGAGCCCAAATCTTTGTGAAAAATTTTAGTGCATAGGAAATAGACTTAAATAATTAAGAGTAGATTATGAAAGAAACACTGTGAAAAAGCGATAGCGTAGTACAGTACCAAAAACAGGTATTGAGAATTTAGTGAGTCGCTTCTACTTGATTGTGCCCATTCAAATAGGCCTGAGTACAACTATCGTTGACTGTGCAGTCAGCTTTTGAAAAGATTATGAAAGTTAAATCACAACTATAGATTAAACATTAAAGTTTCAGTGTTCAATATATAAATTAAACATTAAAGTTTCAGTGTTCAATATATAAATTTAATTTAAATTCTTCTACCTTTTATTCTTTTTAGCCATTGATCAGAGTGTTATTGTGTATTTATTCCGTTTTCTAAATCATATATATCTAACTAAAAATCATACATAAATACCAAGGGAATGAGAGTCTTTAATGGAGACTAAAAGTGTTGCGATTTTCTTTCTTGTCTAAATTTATTGTACTCATCCATTTAGTAGACTTTATTTATTTGATTTTTTGAAATATTCTTTTGGTTTAAAGTAAATAATGATTAAATTACGTATTCAATTTGAATGTGAAATAAAAACAGAAATTATTCTTATTAGATCTTTACATACACAAATTACGCAAAGCGCAGATACTAAATAGCTATATGACAATGTGTCTGAGCATTACAATCTATTCCTATTAGTAATAATTGAGCATACGCTTTCTTAATGTTTAAGCTTGGCATTTCTTCATACAAGAAATTGTAAGCATTGTGTCGACTCCTTTTTAGTTATGAAAGATTATTTTCATTTAACTCTTCTTTCTGTGATTATTACAATAAGGAATAAACTCGATGCATGAAATTTTGAGAATTTAACTTAAAAGTATTCAGATATTAATAGCTTTTCGTTGATAAAGTAGGATACGGACATCAAGTTGAAGATAACAATAGATGTCAATTGTAAAATTAGAATTTTTAGAGCAAATGGTTTTATAANTATATGATATATTGTTGTTCTGATATATATAATGTATATATATTATATATAATATTTTCTTCAAAATTATAAAAAAAAGAACACAATATTCTCAAATAAATCTCAAAAACATTTTTGATGACTACTGATTTGATACATTTACTCTTCCTATTCAATTGCAGTTTTTTCTATTTTAATACTTATTCACTTTAATGTATTGTCCTTAACTTAGTTTTACTGATTATTTTTTATGTTTTGATATACTTTAGTTTCTGAGTTTAAAACGAAAGACTCTGATCAGAGAGAAATGTCTGGAACTGACGGGGAACAAAACAGTTCCGATGTACGTAATTCAAAGGAACGTTGTAAAAGACGAAGAACCAAAACTCTCTGAAAATGGAATTACAGACAACACAATTGAAGGAATTTTCCATGAATCCGAAGATACAGAAGAGTCTCCTATTGTAAGTTGTAATTTAGATACATCATTTCAGAAAATATTATCATTTCATTTAAACATTAAACATTGATAAATACAAAAATGTTTAGTTTATACTAAATATTGTTTAACATTGTTATATTACAAATCGGTATACATTATTTTTCATTGTTGCATAATTTTATTCGTCCTGTGGTATCTAAAATTAATATGCTAACAAAGTATAAAATATTCGCTGTAATTATTATCTTGTAAACATAATAAAGAATTTATTAACAATTGTGAAGTGAAAGCACTTATTAATTAAGACAGTATAATCGCCAGTTCTAAATAAGAGTGAAAAACGTTTTCAAATTTGAAAGATACATTTAAGTTTACACGATAGTTTAATTAATTACATACGAAGTTGTGATTTCGATAGAAATATCCATGAATCAAAGTTATATGTCTAAAGATTTATAAAGCGAAAAATGTAATTGTTAATAAATTGTGTAAATATTAAAGATGATTCTTTAAGCAGAAAGAAAAATAATAACAATAAAATATTATTGATCGTGTTTTAAATTTCTATTATTTTTATGGGCTAATATAAAAAACTTAGGATTTCAGTAATATCTTCCTAATGGATATTTTATTCACTCTAACGGGCTAAACATGTTATTAAATTCGCTTGGCCAGCATGCTATTACTTTATATTAAAACTGTTAAATATTTATTGAATTAAATTTCATTTAATATCTAAGAAATAATTTGAATTCTTATTTCAGAAGAACATTCCAAAGGCTTCTTTGTCTCCAGCGGAAATCACTACAATTGTAAATGAAGGCTATACATTTCGACCGTTATATAGAGCATTCTTGAAACTCGAGAAATATTCGTTAGTTTCAGAAATTATATATGAGGAAGAGGAGCCTGACTCTGCAGACGATTTGTCGGAAAGTGAATATAACATCGAATCAGATATGATCTCGAGTGAAGATGACGTTTCTGACAACGAGAATACAGACGAAATATTTGAAGAATATAATGTCGAACGAAATGTATTAATAACACCTCAACACGAATTATGTGTTTGTGAGTCACTACCAATCAGTTCACAATTAACTGGTTCTCAAATTGAACAATGCAATTCAAATTTAATGACAAAAATGGACGAAATGTCTACCGTTTGTAATGAATTGGCTGTCACAGAGTGCAAAGAATATGTGGATGAATTTTCTACATTCAATGAATCTAGAAAAATACTTGAAGAAGAAATGCTTCAATTATTATCTGAAACGAGCCAAGAAATATTAGAAAATGATTTTAAAGAAATTCAGCTCAATAAAAGTGAATTTGAATTAAATAGAAATGTTTCACGGCTTGATGAAAATGTCTGCGATGATGCAATTGGATTAAAAGGATTTAAAGAAGGTAAGATCACATATGTTTGCTATATTACGTTTGATTTTCTCTTTCTTTCAATAAGTCAACATTATTCATTATCATTCTTTAATACTTGTTAGGACTTATTTATATTTAAATATGAAAGCAATTCTGAAATGCTTTTAATAGATTTCAAAGTTAATATTAATTGCACATTTTCAGTCTTTAATGGCTGTTTCTATTAATTCTTTATAATATTTCTGAATAGTACAAATTGAAGTAATACTTCTAGAACTTTCTTTAATTTATAAACGGACTTTGCTCTAATCAAAAATATTTTCTTAATGTTTTTGTTAGCACTTTAACTACGAATTTAAATTTTATAACGTATGATTTGATAGAACATTAATTTCTTAATTTATCTTAGCAAGTATTCATGTGACGTTAACACAGAAATCAAGTAATTTGAAAAACATATTTTAACACATATATATTATAATTCAAGTATATCAAGTATTTATTTGTGTAATTAAAAGTTAATTTCTATTGATAATATGATTATATGTGATGTAGGCACAGCTCATAACTATTTGAAACGGAATTAATTAACATCCATCAGAAATATAAATTAAAAGATTTTATTTTAGTAAACAAATCAATTTAACAAATGTTCTTTGCATATGAAGTATACATATAATCTATAAAGTACATAAATGCAAAATAAAATAAATAAATTTATGATTATGACATCATAATTACAAATGAAATTTTTGTGTCTGTTTTATTTTATTGTTGTTTAATATTTTATATATACTTAATGACAGAATTATAATTTTTAATAAAGAAACGATTGAAGTTTAAATTATAAAATTATTTTTTCAGAAAATAATAAAAATAAAGACGAAAACAATGAAAGACAAATGGTTAACAAATTAACCGATTTCATGCTAATTAAAAACGATGTTCTTCCCAGTTCAGACGTGGAAGAATCCTGTGCAGAAACAGAAAAAGAAGTGAGAAAATTTTTGTAGTTTTATTGTTTATATTTAAGGAGTGATTAATATTTTTACATCTCACAACCAATAAACATGTTGTTAAATTCGCCTGGCCAGCATGCTATTACTTTACATTAAAAATGTTAAATATTTATTGAATTAAACTTCATTTAATGTCTAAGAAATAATTTGAAAGTTTTTTAATAATTTAAGTAAATAGTCATTTTTATCAAAATTACGAAATTTTATTCTAATTGATAGAAATAGATAAATATAAAATTTGACTAATTAATACATTTAATTATTTTAAAATAAGGAGTTAAAAGTGAGCACGCTTTCATTTAAGGATGTCGATAATTATAATTAACAAATTTGAAATAATTTAATTTAAATTGTTTTATTAATTCATAACTGTTATGTTTTAAATCTAAGTAACTCTAAAATTTTATATTATTATTATTTACAATATATTTTAAAATTATTTTTATTACTGTTGATTTACGAAAATGTTTTTTACTTATTTTTAGGACGTAAACTGTTTGAATGTCTTCGGATATTTACTTCGTAGACTCCGAGGATTATTTTTTCCTTGCCTACATTCAAAGAAGTAACGTATTTGGCAGTGAAAAGATCATATGGATTGAAAATCTTTATAATTTGCAGTCCAGTAATTTATATACGTGATTACAATATCAATATTGTAATTTTCGTTGGAATTTTCAAAATTTAGTTTAATTTTTATAAATTCTTATTATCAAAATTCAATTTAATTATTGTAAATTCAAATTATCGAGTATTTAAATAAAATAAACAAATCTCTCTTTTGTTGTGTGTTGAATTTTTATTGATTATTCAATTTCGATTTTTAAAAATCCCACTTCTGTTTATATTCTTCGAACAATAATTTTAAAACAAAATACATAACTGAGATTGTTTCTTATCTGTTTTGTAATATTTTACATTTAAAGCGAATTTGCTCCTTATCTTCTTTTTGACATCTCTATAGTTCATAGAGAGAGATTATGGGCTTCAGGTTTATTTTTTGGACGAAACTGTTGAACCAGCTCTTAATTTCAGAACAATTCCTAGGCGAAAATATTAGGTTTTAGAACTTTTATTCAAACGAGAGTAAGCGGAGCACAACACGGAGATATTAGATAACGCGCAGAAATACAATTGAATGACACTGATATTATTGTGTAAAAACCGTCAATATTGTACTGTAAAACCAATCACTGTAATCTAGAATCCATCAATTCTTGTCCCTGGAATAATTAAGAATTTATGTACATTAATTAGATTATTTTTTTATTATTTGCATAAATTTGACATTTTCCCTATTCAAATCAAATTCCACTGCTATTACTTTGTGTGTGTCGATTTGATTTTACTGTTACGGGATTCAACGAATAGGCGTCTCCTCTATAGTGTGATCTTTTCACATTTATTAGCCAATAATCTACAAGTAATTCTTTCTTGACAAGAGAAAATACAATTGCTACGTCAATTTTTCTATTATTAAATTTATAAAATATGAAAAGAGCCGTTCAAAAGTAAAACAAAAAGTGTATTTTATAGATTTTGAGTACGTTTTCTAGAAAAGAGACTAAAGTAGCAGTTATTTTTATTAAAAGAAACACACGTATAAATAAAACTCAGTAATGGATTAAGTAGTTTAGACAGCGTTTCATCCGAAAAAGGATAAAGAAAGTATCGCGACTAACATAAAAATACGTGAAAATATAAAACGTTTAAACAATACTCTATGAAAAAACTCGAATATATTTTAAACATTTGTTTAATTACATAGAAATCATTCGAATACAAATAAAAATATTTATCTATTTTTATTATTACTTTAACCGTTTTAAAATTAAATTTTTATAGATACAATTTTAAAAAGCTTAATGTTGAAACCAAGAAGCATGTGATGAACTTTCATGATTTTAACATACTGTGGCACAACTTTTTGTATCAGTTCAATATTTAAAAAAAATAACTCCATTATATAATAAGCCCGGCGTTAACTGGCAGATTAACCCCGGCGTTGCTCGGACAAAAAGTAACGATAGCCAGTGGCGTACCGTGGGGAGGGCGGCAAGGTCGGCCCGCCCCGGGCGGCACTTTTTAGGGGGCGGCAAAATTACGCTTTAGGGGCGGCAAAATTTCACAATAAATAATAATAATATCTCGTAAAATTTTGAAACATCCTAACCTATACTTCCATCGCGCCTACGATAGTGTTCGGACAGTCCGAGAATCGGCTCTCCGAGTGAATTAGTAACTTTTCATCCGAGTAGTTCCTGCGAAACCTGTTGAACTTTTTTTTTGCTTGTACGATTCATTTGTGTTCATATCCACCGCTAATATCCAATAGAGCTATTTTAAATAGGTCGCTGCACTACCACCGAATTTTTCATTGCTTTTCTGTGACAAACTGAATTATGGTCTTATAAATTGAAATACCTAAATAAGGGGGGGGATGAAACTTTCCTCTGCCCCGGACGGCTGACACCCACGGTACGCCACTGCTGCAAAACTATCCAATTCCATTCGTTACATTGAACATTTTGCTGAAAGGTGTTACATAGGCTGTTTAAAAAGAACTATCAAAGATTCTTTATATAATGCAAGAAAGGTAAAAATACAAATTATTCAGAATTGGCTCTAT